TTTATGAGCTGCTTATCTAAAGTAAAACTTACAAACCATTGTAATTATGTTATTAACATTATAGTTATAAATGACACAGTGTAAATGTTACGTATAATTTTAGTAAGAGAAAAAATACAATTTGTCAGAATATTTGTTATTGAACATTATAATTTTTTTACATATATTGTGAGTGGGTGAATATGTTAACATGGTGCATACTATATCAGCTTTTACTGTGTATGTGATAATTAGAATTATGGAAAAAAATGGGGTTTGTTCTATTAAGAATTTTGGGGTGTCGAAACCTTTTAGGTCAATTTAAACAGATCATCAAATACAAAACTCAAAACTCGAGAAAAAATCAAATTTAAAAATGAATTTAGCCCTAATACCGACCGGATAATATAGAAAGATATTTTGAAAATAGTAGATCTGCTCACGCCAACTCAAATCTATGTTTTATATAATAGAATAGATATATTAAAAAATGTGCACAACAACATAGGTGTGCTTCAAATGGGCAATTATAAAATCTATGGACATGCTTGAAATTTATTGTTGCACATTGGGAATAAGAAAAATTATGACAAAAAATTTTAAAGATAGTATGGATAGATATACTCATTCCAACACCCCGTGCCCCCATCTCTTTTCCTTTCCCAAAACAAAGAATTTTTTTTTCTTCATATAATTAATTCACTATAAGTTTCCCTAATGTACTAATTAGAGAAATGCTAAATTTTTAACTTCGAATTCATGTAATATAAACTAGGGATGTAATCAGTTCAGTACAGTTAGTATTTAGGTAAAAAATTTTGCCGAACCTATAATGTTAGTTTTATTATTTTAAATGCCGATACAGACCACTTTTTCATCAAATCGCACTGAACCGAACCGATTGAAACAGTTTAGCTCGGTGTGGTTTAATCGGTTTAGAATCTTTCAAACTTGAGCCACTTTAAAATATAATCACTAATCCATATAAAAATATTAAATTAGTTATTTGTCCACTATTTCAAACATATTCTATCCATCCATTTAATAAATACTTTTCAATTCCTAGATTAACAAAAATAAAAACAAAAAAAAAAGTTAAAAAATACGAAGATTTCACGAATAATGAGTTAGAATTAAGAATATGTATAATAAGAGTTTACAAATGTAGGTTATAAAGATGATAAAGTTAATAATTTATTATACTTATTAATACCATCAAATTATTAGATTATACATATATATATATATATTATAAATACAATATATGTTAAGTTACAAAATTTGAAGAGAGAGAGAGAGAGAGAGAGAGAGAGAGAGAGAACCAATCAACCAGGAAAAAAGGGAAACTATGAGAAGGGCAGGAGGTTGGATTCCAGTGGTTATGCAGAGAGGAAGGCAAGTGTCACACAGCTCGTAGTATGAAGGTCGAAGGGTAGGTCTATTTACCATTTTTGTGGATAACCTACCTGAACCAAAGGACTCGTGAAGCTTATACGAACTATTCTCCAAGTTTGGCATGGTAAAGGATGTATTCATACCAAGAAAGAGAAGGAAATCTATAAATATACGATATGGGTTCGTTAGGTATGATTGTTCTGTTTCAGCCAGAATAGTAGAGTAGAAAGTGAATGGCTTGTGGGTTGATGATAAATCACTGGTAGTCAAAACCGCAGAGTATGGTAATGGAATAGAAGAAAGAAGGAAACTAAAACCAATACTAGCTAGACAACCAGAGTCAAGTAAGCCATCTGCTATGACCGCCAACAGAAATTGGAATTAAGGAATTGACGGAAGATCGTTTGCAGATGTCATCAAGGGCACCGATTCAAGATGTCTACCTAAGACAACTATCAGAGTAGAAGAGATAGGTAATGGGTGGTTGTTTGAGAGCATGATCATGAGACTTAAAACAGATTACTCTGTTCAAGAGGTGAAAAATGAACTCAAAAAGAGAGGTATGTTGAGCGTGCTGGTTAGAGAAGGTGGAGGACGAGATGCAATCATATCCTTTAATTCAAGGGAAGATCTATTGAATAAAAAATATCTACTTGAAATTTGGTTTCATGATTGGTGTGAGGACATCACTGAGTGGCGATCTCATATGCATCTCCAACAGGAGAGATATGTTTGAATCAGATGCTATGGTGTGCCCCTTAACCTGTGGAACTCAGATACCTTCAAAAAGATCGGAAGGTTATGGGGGAGATGGTTATCTTAGATGGAGATATCTGCTCACGTAAGTCATTTCGTTGTGGGAGGTTCAAAATAGTCATTGGTGTTATGGACCCCATCAGCACAAGTTTAAACCTAGAGTGCAAAGAAAGAATTTACCCCATAAGAGTTTATGAAGAACAGAATACAGAAGATGCAATCTTCAGCTACAAAAGAACCACTACCAATGGGGCTAAAGAAGATGGGTGCTCCAAAGTAAATGGGTTACACCAGCCCGTTACAGGTAATAATTTGGAGGTAGAAGGCGATGACAAAGCCAATGAAGTGGCAAGAGAATATGATGTGTCAAACGGGTCCGTGGCATGCAGGTTGAAAAGCAATGTTGAGTTGGCGGTTGGTGGTAATTGGAGTCATGCCTCAGTAGTAAAGGAGACTAAAGATTTGGGGAGGGAAATTCAAATGAAGAAAACACCTGTGTGGTAGGGTCATCATTACCAGAGGTAAGCCTACAACACATGCAATGGTTCAATCATATCAACCACATAGGTATGGAAGCTCCTATAGTAGAACACAATCATGATGCTCAAAAAGCTAAGATAGCCCCTATAGTAGTGGATGATCAGATACTAACACCAGGTTTTATTAAGAGCCTCAGTGAGCCAACCAAGAATAAACATGGTATTTGCTTGCAAGTAGATTTAGGCCTTGATCAATTTAGGCTGCATTCCACTGGGGCAGCCCACGGCAGTGTCCAGCCCATTGGATCTAAGGATAATGTTCCCAATACATCTTCTGAGAGGCTAGGGTGTGGAACCTCAAATGTGGGCTCCTAATCTAAAGATAGTATTTCCTTCAGTCCATTAATCTCAGCATCTATGAGCACTCGTATAAAGAAAGGCAAAAGGAAAGGCAACAAAAATCCCTTGTTCATTGGTAGATTCACAGGGTTTGCTAGAAGATTTGGTCAAAAAGGTAGTGGAACCAGTAAAGGCTCCATGGCAAGATCCAGTGCTACCATTCATTCAAATCACAACTCACGATCTCAGCACCTATCAGTTGGTAAAAACCAAGAAGCTTGTGCAACATTACAGTTGGGAAAAGTGTTAGGTACTGATTATAAAGGGCAGGAAGCTGAGATTATCAACAAATTAACACTCATGGAAAAGAAGGATCAAGAGAGGTTGGGAAGAGGGACAGGTACAGGGGAATAATCAGTTAATCAGTGAAATGTCTACTTCTATAAAGACACTGAGTTGGAATATCAGAGGGGTTGGAAGGCCTGAAAAGAGAAGAAAGATTAAAAAAGTTTTATTTGAAAGGAAAATTGATTTGGCATTGCTTCAAGAAACAAAAAAAAAAAAAAAAAAAAAAAAAAAAAAATCAAGTATAACCAACTTGGTGGTGAAAAGCATTTGGCCTAGGGATAGCTTTGAGTTCATGGCTGTGGATGCAGATGGGTTGGTAGGGGGCTTTTATGCATCTGGGACCCTAATGTCTTTCAGCTCATAGATTGTTGCAGCAACAGAAGTTTCATATTACTTTTAGGTAAACTCCAAAACTCATTCGATTGTGTAATTGTAAACATCTATGCTCCCAATGATGTTGTAAGCCGAGGGAAATTGTGGGAAACACTGTTAATTCTGAAAAACTCCTTCCCTAAGCCCTGGTGCCTTGGTAGGGATTTCAATGAGATTAGAAATTTAGGGGAAAGGGTTGGTGTCTCACTCAGGGACAGGGGTATGAGTGACTTCAACAAATTTATTGACAAATGTGAGGTAGTTGATCTTCCTTTGCTAGGCAGAAAGTACACCTGGTGTAATGCAACTGATGGCCACAAGTGGAGCCGAATTGATAGGTTTCTGCTCAATCCTGAATGGCTAGAAAAGTTTAAATTCAAACAATGGGGTCTTGCTAGAGTCTCCTCTGATCACTGCCCTATTGTACTTATGGAGGATTCTAGAGATTGGGGGCCTAAACCATTTAAGTTCTTAAATGCATGGATGTTGCATTTGAACTTTGCATCCTTTGTGGAACATAATTGGAGACAGTCACAGTTCTCAGGTCCTGCTGGATTTACCTTCAGCATAAGATGCATGCCCTCAAGTTGGCTCTAAAAAAAAGGAGTAAAGGAGAATATGGTGATGTCTCTTCTAGGCTGCATCTTCTGGAAAATGAACTTCATCAATTGGACTTGAAAGCTGAGATTATGCCTTTGATGGAGGATGACCTGAAGCAGCAAAGAGAGAAAAAGATTGAGATGTGGATGAGTGAGGAGAGTGTGAGCTCCTCCTCTATTGTAATCTTTCTGTAATCTCCTCATTGGTATAGTGATAACCGGTTACTCTCCCGTGGACGTAGGCATTGGGCCGAACCACGTAAAATATTGTGTCTCCTTGTGTGTGGGTGTGTTTTTCTGCTTGAAATGATTTCTATAAGGTCTTGGGCGGGATCCCAGATCCCAACACTATCAGTTGATAAAAACCAAGAAGCTTGTGCAACATTACAGTTGGGAAAAGTGTAAGGTACTGATTATAAAGGGCAGGAAGCTGAGATTATCAACAAATTAACACTCATGGAAAAGAAGGATCAAGAGAGGTTGGGAAGAGGGACAGGAACAGGGGAATAATCAGTTAATCAGTGAAATGTCTACTTCTATAAAGACACCGAGTTGGAATATCAGAGGGGTTGGAAGGCCTGAAAAGAGAAGAAAGATTAAAAAAGTTTTATTTGAAAGGAAAATTGATTTGGCTTTGCTTCAAGAAACAAAAAAAAAAAAAAAAAAAAAAAAAAAATCAAGTATAGCCAACTTGGTGGTGAAAAGCATTTGGCCTAGGGATAGCTTTGAGTTCATGGCTGTGGATGTAGATGGGTTGGCAGGGGGTCTTTTATGCATCTGGGACCCTAATGTCTTTCAACTCACAGATTGTTACAGCAACAGAAGTTTCATATTACTTTTAGGTAAACTCCAAAACTCATTCGATTGTGTAATTGTAAACATCTATGCTCCCAATGATGTTGTAAGCCGAGGTAAATTGTGGGAAACACTGTTAATTCTGAAAAACTCCTTCCCTAAGCCCTGGTGCCTTGGTAGTGGTGGTGACTTCAATGAGATCAGAAATTTAGGTGAAAGAGATGGAACATCAAGAAGGGATAAGGGCATGAAAGAGTTCAATGACTTCATAGATAAGTGTGAAGTGGTAGATGTGCAAATGATAGGGAGAAAATATACATGGTGCAATGCTCTTGATGGGAACAAATGGAGTTGGATTGATAGATTCCTTATTAATCTAGAGTGGATAGAGAGATTCAAGTTCAAACTTTGGGGTCTTCCAAGAGTGGTATCTGATCACTGCCCAATTGTGCTCATGGAGGATAAGAGGGATTGGGGGCCTAAACCTTTCAAGTTTTTGAATGCTTGGCTTTTGCATCCTAATTTTGCCTCTTTTGTTGAAATAACTTGGCAAGAATCTCAGTGTTTTGGGGTTACTGGTTTTGTTTTGCACAGAAAGTTATATAATCTGAAGTTGGCATTGAAAAAATGAAGTAAAGAGGTGTATGGTAATGTAGCATCCAAACTCCAAGAGTCTGACTATAAACTCAATGGGCTGGATTTGATAGCTGAATCCAGGCCTTTGGAGGAGGAGGAATTGAAGTTGAAAAGAGAGACCAGAAATGAAATGTGGAGGCTGAGCAGGAAGTTGGAATGGGAATGGTTTCAAAAATCAAGGCTTGATTGGAATCTGAAAGGAGATAGAAATACAAGATACTTCCATGTTACGGCTACCAACAGGCAAAATAGGAACACACTCAACTCCATCACAAAAGGGGACTTAGTTCTTGAAGAGCCAAGTCAAGTTAAGAATGAGGTATGGACCCATTTTTCAAAGCATTTCACAGAAGACAGGATGATCAGACTAGTGCTTGTTGGGGACTTCAAAAGTGTAAGGCTCAGTGACTCATTCCATAGGCTTGAAGAAGAATTTACTGAAGTGGAGGTATGGGCAGCTGTTAGAGAATGTAATGGGAATAAAGCTCCAGGGCCAGATGGTTTCAACCTGATGTTTTTCCAAAAAAAAATGGGAGGTTATTAAGGAGGAAATACTCAACTTTATGAAGGAATTTCATGCAAATGACAAATTAACCACAAATCTGAATAGCACTTTCATCTCTCTCATCCCAAAGAAAGATAAAGCCATCAATCTGAATGAGTTTAGGCCTATTAGGTTGGTTGGGGCAATCTACAAACTTCTCTCAAAAGTCTTTCCAAACTAAAAAGAGTCTTGCCCATCATTATTGGAGATACACGGTCAACTTTTTTGGGTGAAAAGAATATACTTGATGGTATTCTGATTGCGAATGAGGTGGTGGATAGTTGGACCAAATCTAGGAAAAAAAGGCTGATGTTTAAGTTAGACTTTGAAAAGGCTTTTGACTCCATTAATTGGGACTTCCTATTCTCAATGTTAGCAAATTTTAAATTTGGTACAAAGTGGATTTCATGGATAAAAGAATATGTTTCTACTGCAAGACTCTCAGCCCTTGTTAATGGCTCACCAACCATGGAATTTAAACCTCAAAAAGGCCTCAGGCAAGGTGATCCCCTTTCACCTTTCCTTTTTATTTTGGTCGCAGAAGCCCTGAATATACTTTTGTAGAGAGCTAGAGAACTGAGATTGCTACAAGGAGTTGTCATTGGAACCAACCGTGTAGTGATCTCTCATCTACAATTTGCAGATGACTCTTTACTATTCTGTGAAGCTAAGTTGTCAGAAGTTCTCTGTTTGAAACGGATCTTTAGGTGCTTTGAAATAGCTTCAAGGTTTAAAATCAACTATCATAAAAGTGTGCTTTGTGGGATTGGTCTTTCTGATCCAGACCTTCATGATTTTGCCTTCTTATTTAACTGCAAGACTTAGAGATTGCCACTAAATTATTTAGGCTTGCCTTTGGGTGCTAGCCCCAGGAGAAAGAAGACTTGGAAACCTATTATTGACAAATTCAAAATGAGACTTGCTGGGTGGAAAAGGAGATTCCTAGCTTTTGTAGGAACATTAACATTGGTGAATGCAGTGCTATCAAGTCTATCATTGCATTTTATGTCTTTGTTCAAACTACCTGAAGGAATAGCAAAGGAGTTAGACAAAATTCAAGCCTCATTCTTATAGGGGGGCTCAGAATTGAAGAGGAAAATTCATCTGGTGAAATGGTCAGAAATATCTAAAGTATCAAGCAAGGTAGGCTAGGCATAAGAAGAGTTAGAGATGTGAATGTGTGCTTGCTTCTCAAATGGTGGTGGAGATTTGCTTCGGAACATGACTCATTATGGAAAAGGGTCCTCTGCAGTAAATACAAATTCCTAGGAGGGGAATGGTTACCTCATCTTAACTTGAGCATTATCTTATCTAGAATTTGGAGTGATATTGTATTAGTAGTTGAGCAGAAAGTACCTTTACTCACATACTATGTTTCCCACTTACAATTAAGAGTGGGCAATGGTTGTAGAATAAAGTTCTGGCATGACAAATGGTATGGAGCTTTCTCCCTTAAAGATGAGTTCCCAAGGCTATTTCGGTTATCTACTGATAAGGAGGGATCAATTAGGGACCTTGTGGAGATCATAGGCAACTCTTACAATTGGCCACTTATTTTCAGGAGACTTGTAATGCCTGCATCTTTTAATCCTTTGGAGAGTGTGTTTAATATCCTTATGTTTATCTTGGGAGTCTTTGGAGTTGTTGTCTATTGGTTTTGAAGGAGTAAAATCCGATTTAAACTCATTGGGTTTGTTCGTTCGTGTTTGTTCTTGTCAAAAATTCCTTGGAAACTTAGAAATTTTTTCTTGGGGTCGACACTAGCCTTTCTAAGGGTCGACCCTTGCATGTTGTCATGTTTCTGGAAGTGTTGCTTGAAAATAGGATAGACACCAGCCTTCCTAAGGGTCGACCCTTACCTGTTGGTGAAGTTTCTGGAGGTGTCGCTGGAAAATAGGGTAGACACCAGTCTGGGGAGGGTCGACCCTTTTATGTTGCAGAATTTCTGTGTTAGTTGTTGGAAAATAAGGTCAACCCCCTCATGTCTAAGGGTTGACCCCCTTGCTTGTAGCAGATTGCCTTTTCTACATAAAGGGTCAACCCCCGCGTGTTTTTTTTTTCTTCAGATTTTTGGGCTGATTTGGGCCCTACTTTTTGAGAGTTTTGACTTGTTCCTTTCATTTGACTTTGGGGCTATTATTCTATTATTACCTTGCTACTATAAATAGGCTCCGAACATATTTTATTTCACTTTTTCTTCTCTTTCCTCTCTCTCAAACCGTGAGTTCTCTTCTCTCTTTCTAAACTCAAGTTTTTGGCACTAAGATCCCTAGATCTACTCACCTAGAGTGATCTTGTCACATGGCCCTTTGAGAAAAAGTGTAGATCTCATCAAGGGCATCCTTTTGGTTCGAAGAGTTTATGGTTTCATCGCCATTGATGTTTGGGTCGTCATCTATTGGCTTCAACAGGTAGGGGCCTCTAGTTCTCTTTTAATACCCTCGTTTATGGATAGATTTGTGGTATTTTCTTTATATATAACACAAAAGTTTATATTTTTATGCATATTGTGATGAATTACGAGATTGGGGGTTAGGGCTTGAAGAGAGTCGGGTTATTTGTTGGGTTATGATCTTGGGTCATGCGTTTGGGTGTAAAAGTAATAGAAGGGTTGGAATAAAATGTGTTTTTGTGAAAAGCTTTAACTTCTCCTAAAAACCCTAGTTTGGCTCATGAAGATGGTTAATGGTTTTGCTTCAATTAATAGTAGAATCATGAAATTGAGGTGTTAAATTACACATGTACAAGTTTAATTAAAATTTTAAAGAATTTGAGAATTGTATGTGAAAGTTGTGATTGAACTCATAATGTTGATGTTTTAAATTATGTTATAATGTGAACCAAACTTAGGGGAAAATAAATTACTAACGGTATGGATGATATGAACTTTGTGTTGAAATGGTTGCATTGAATCTTGTTGTGTGTTATGTGAATGGTATTGGGTTATGTTGTGTTGAGTTGGTTGAGTTGTGTTGTGTGGAATTGAGTTGTGTTGGGTTGTGTTGTGGTTGGTACCCTCGCGAGGAGTTGAAAAATGGTTTTTCGGTGCCCATAACCGTCCGTATAATAGCTGGTAAATGTGGGGGATAGTTTTAAAAAAATTGAAAAATGATTTTTCGGTGCCCACAACCGTCCGTATAATAGTCAGTAAATGTGGGGGTGGTTTGAATTCAAGGTGCCCAATTGTCCTGTCTAGGCTTATCGCTCGACGAATGTGGGAAAAGTGTTTTTGGATGTCCATATAGTCTTGCCGTATTGTAGCCGGCGAAAGTGGAAAAATGATTTTTGGATGTCCACACAATCCTGTTGTATTGTAGCAGGCAAAAGTGAAAAAATGGATTGTTTTCAAAAATGTTTTGGGTGCCCACGTCCTGTCGTATAATAGCCAGCAAATGTGGGGGATGGTTTTTAAAAGGTTGAAAATGATTTTCGGAAAAGACATGGTTTTTGAGAAAATGATTTTTGGGAGTTCACTTCCCGCCATATAATAGCCGGCAAAATGTGGAATGTGCTATGAATTAGGTGCCCGTTATCCCGTCGTATCAAGTCGGTAAAAGGTGGAATGTGTTGTGACATGTGTTGAGGTTGGTGATGATATATGTGACTTGTGATGAACTTGTGAAATTACCATTTGATGTGTAAACTGGTATGGAATGGAAATGCTTATGGGAATCATTTGAAAAGAATGGATAATGAAATGGTAATTGGATGAGGGGTTAGCGATAAAGAACTCACCGGATTGTTTGCATCTGTAAGGGAAAAAAAATTAGGAGTTTTGTTTTGTGATTAATTGAAAAATTGAATTAAAAAGGGTTATTGTCCTTGTGATATGTTGAATTATGATTGATAACACACATGTGGATATGATGTAGTTGTGATATGTTGAATTATAGTTGATAATACAAGTGTGGATGTGATGTAGTTGTTAGATAAGTAGGAGTTGGGTGTAGGATAACAATTATTGACTATAAAAGAGATTTGGATTTTTACATTGAGGAATTACAGCAAATATGAATAGATTGATGAGAATAGCATGTATGTGAAATGTTTGGAGTGTTAAGGGAACTTGAACTTAAGGTTATGGCATTGTAATAAATGTAACTAGAAAAAGGGGAGAATGGGAATAAAAAGAGGAATGTTAAGATGGAAATTAAATGAGGAATATAATGGAATGGGTTAATAAAATTAAAATGATGTTGTTCCTTAAATATATTTGTTTTCAAAAAGGATTTTATGTTTTTCTGATAAAAAGGGATAGTTTTGATGGTTAAAGGTTTTCCTTACAATGTTTCAAATAAACTTTGAGAAAAAGGTACTCTACACATGATATTTTGAAATTACAAAACATTACTTTACTATATGGTATCACCATGCATGCATGATCATTTCTATCTATAGGATGGTTATTGTTTTAGAACTGTGAGATTCCTACTGAGCAATTGTGCTCACCCCTTGTTGTTTCATTTTTTTTTACAGGAAGAGATTTCGGATTGTTTGGTTGAAGGATAAGGAAGTTCATGAATCTCTTATGTGTAATATCATTGTACATTGATGTTTGTATTTATTTATTTGTAGCTCCATAGTGGAAGTGGAAATGTATTATTATTATTGTTGTACTCATCATGAGGGAGAGAGCATGTACTATTATGTTTCTATTACTAAAAGATAATAGATATTTTTAATTTAAAAAAAAATGGACCTCAATTTCAGGCTCTTGGTAATGTTTTTGAGTAATTAAAATTTGGGGTGTGAGAAGACCTCTATTTGAATGGGAAAAATATGAGCTACTCAGACTTAATGGAATGTTACGTGAAGCAGCTGCATTTAATTTTCAGGTCAATGATATGGCAATATGGTCTGCTGCTAAACCAGGTCAGTCTCTTGTATCTATTTTCTATAACCATACCAACATTACTTTTGGGGGCAATGCCAGCTTCAGTAAAAGGATGTGGATCAATTATCATCCTCCCAAAGTGCAATTCTTTGGTTGACTTGGATAGAAAAACAAGGTTAAAACATTAGTATTTTTGCAGCAGCTTCGAATTTTGGGCAGGGACTCATCCACCCCGTGTACTCTCTGCAAGACTCAACAAGAATCAATTGAACATCTGCTAATTTTCTGCTCCATGGTATGGAGAGTTTGGTCTAGGTTGCTGCAATGGTGGGGGGTAGTTTGGGTGGTTCCTAGGTCTATACAAGGGCTGATTCAGTGGTGGGCAAGGCATTGCTGTAGAAATGAAGAAAGGAGGATTTGGAGTGCAATACCTCTGGTGACTCTTTGGCCCTTATGGAAACACAAAAATGAGTGTCTCTTCCAAGGCTCACAACCCCAGCTTCAGGAGCTTCAAGAACTCATTATCACCAGATTAGCCTTATGGTATAAAGCTGCATCCAAGAGGTTTCAATTCTCAATTAATGATTTCCTCTTCAATATTCCACAAATCAGATATTGCTTAGGTGGAAGGGCCTAGGGGTATATTATGTATTATTAAGTCCAGTTGCTGTCAATGCTGGTTTGGATGCTAGTTTTGTGGATGCTAGTTTAGTTTCTTCTTCACAGCAGCAGCTTCCATTGGTTTATCTACAACTGTTATTTCTTAGGATCTCAGCTTTGTCTTGATTTGAATGCAACACAGCTCTATCTTGGTGGTTTTAAGTAGCTCATCAAGTTATAAGCATCATAAGATGATCTGGTTGAAGTTCTGGTGCCTGTTTTTGTCTTTCCTTCACATCAGCAACTTCCTCTGCACAACAGGTTTTAAGCATCATGTGATGAACTTGGTGAAGTTCTCATGCATGTCTTGGTGTTTGCCCTGGAGCCACTCTGTTTTGCTCATCTGGGGTTGCTCTGTTTTGCTCATCTGTTGATTTGTTGCTTTTGTTGTTTTGTTGCTCTATTTAGCTTTGTTTATTGGTTTCTCACCAACTGGAGCTTGGAGCTTGAGTTAGCTCCAAGCTCCTCTTTATTGATGTATTTCTCACACTTTGTATGTTCTCCTCAATAAAGATCTCTTTTTCTGTTCAAAATAAATAAATAAATAAATACAATATATGTTGAAGCGGTCAGTTTTAGTTTAGTTCGGTGCACAAGATGCTTGAACTGATACTGAACCGAAAAAAAAAAAAATCAAATTTAAAAATCGCACAGACCAATTCTTATAAACAAAAAGACTAAATATAGCCTATTTGGTCTGGTTTAATCGGTTTGATTGATTTTTTTTTTCTTACATCCGTAAGTATAACCCATCAGGTAATATACAAGAAACATTACAATTTTTTTCTATAAACCAAATGCAACTTTCTTGAAAAATTGTAAAGAAGCCCTGATTGAAGACATGGCATACATTTGATTTAGCAAATAAATATGTAGAGCTAATTTTTCATGAGAGAAGGAAATTAGTCATTCCAACACCTCGTGCCCTCACCATTTTTCCGTCACAAAACAATGAATTTTTTTTCCCTCATATAATTCACTGTAAGTTTCCCAAGTATACAAATTAGAGAATTCTAATTTTTTTAACTTGAACTCATGTAGTATAGCCCCCATCAAAGGTAACATACATGAAACACTATAATTTTTTTTTTACCAAATGCAACTTTCTTGAAAAATTGTAAAAAAGCCTTGATGAATGACCTTGAAGACATGGCATACATTTGATTCAGCAAATGAATATACAGAGCTAATTTTTCATGAGAGAACAAAATTACTATAATATCTCTCAAAACATCAATTTGTCATATAGTGGAATCGTAGAACTTACTGCAAATTCAAGATCCCATTTCTTGATTTTGCATGTTTTCTCTATTCATCCAAACACCATTCTCATCACGCAGGAAAGAAGTGAGATTAGGAGATTCTACTTTCTCCAAATAAATCAAATTAGGAAATAATATCCTAAGTTCCATCTAATGCATCTGTAGTTGATGCAAGTATTTCAATTGCAACATCTCAACTGTGGTAGCTACTATTGCACCTAGATAACACAATAGCCCTCATTTGATGTAGAGTTTCTTTAAGTTCTTTAGATTGCTAGACCATAACCAACTGGGTGTAATCATCTCAGGAAAACACTCAAGCTCTAGTTTCTGCAACGAGGAAGGAAGTTCCAATTGGAGAGGAAGTTCTGAATCATGTTTCTAGATGACTGATCTTGTCAATGCTTTTGTCAACTTGGCCCGTAATCGTGGTTGTGGGTGTGCTTGCTTAGGTATGTCATTTATTTCACCTCGTAAAATGCAACCTAACCAAGATAGTTTTAACTTCTGCAGGGTTTTTAATCTTTGTAAATGATGAAGTTGCTTATTTGTTGGGAATTCTTTCATACTTGTGTATATGCTCAATTTTCTCAGCTTTGGCAATTTTGTCAAATCATCGATAGTACATGAGCTTTTATCCTTGGAATCTCTAATGATAAATCCCTTAAGAACTTGAAGTTCTGATAGTAAACCAAGGCCCTTGGGCATGTGATCTAAAAAGTAAGACTCAAATATGTCCGTGTAAATTAAAGTATAACGCAGTGGGTAAAAAATTCAAATCATACCTTAGGTGATAGAACCTGAAACGAAGAATCTCGTGGGTAAATCATGTGCTTCAAGAATGCGAACAACGAACCCAGCAGTGGAGTGATACCATAATATGAGTATCACCCACACAAGTCACAGTGCAAAAAACTTGATTGTTGTATTTTAATGGGAGAGAGTCAGTATAGGAAAAACATACGTTGTTTCATATATAAGATCAGATATATATGATAAATATATCATCTATCCATATCAGTTGATATGATAGATATAGATATCATGAGTGGTTATCCATATAAGTTTTGAATTCAAATTCAAACTTACATGGATAAGGTTCAAAAGGTTCAGGGTCATGCCACATGGGCGCCCAATTTCTAACATCTCCCACTCGCACATGAGTTGGCATGACACTGGCACATCTCTATCTCAATCTCCCAAAAATGAACAATCTCATACTAGCCAATACACCTTGCGACCGCTGAGAACACCTGCATGTGGGAGCTCTATACTATAAACTCAATATGAGTCAGCATAAAGACATCAACCCAAAATGAACAGAAATAGTGTCTCATGTACCCAGACCCATCTAGCTACATCAGTCCAAAAACATCTCTAATCCCTTAAAGAGCATGTTTGACTCTCCTAGGTCCCGCGTTATATTCACACCCAATCAGCATCCCACAGAGAGCAATGTGAGTTGTCGACAGTGAATATAGAGTAGAGATGTAGAACTAGATGATCTTCCCTTCACCCTCATATCATTTAATTTGAAATTGGCCATTTTCCTAGTAATGTCCCTTAAAGCCAAATCATACATGATCATAGGCAATATACCAAGTAGCTGAACATCAACTCCTCATCTTATGACATAGTCAAAAGTCACAAAAGGCACAAAGTGAAGTCATTTAGGAAAAAATGACTTTTAGGACTCACACGGTGAAGAAGCAGGGATCTATTCTTTCACCTCGCTAACCGGTCGATAAGCACATGCAGTACAAATGCATGTTATAGTGGAGTAACTCTTCCAAAGAGTGATGTTAAACTCACACACCATACAGATCTTAGTCTAGTCGCTCTTAAGCGCACAAGTCGCTTCCTAGCGTCTAACTCGAATTCTTTATTTGCTCGCCTCTCAGGCATCAAATGAGATCTCGCATCTGGCTATCCATAACAGGCACATCATGGAAAAGTGGGTACTCTCATATCCATGGTCAGTCTCTAACAAGACCTCATCTTGGCTCCAACCAAGGCGACATTGCTAGTGGATAATTTTAGCTTCTCTATTTGGTCCAAATATAATAAGCCACTAGTTTCATCCTTGCTCACTACCTAGCGCTAAGGGCAATTGCTCGTGTGAGTGAGCTATCCTGCCTACTAACATCAATTTATTTATTCTGTGTATGCTAATTCACAAACCATTGCAAAAAGTAGTAAACATAAATGTGTAATAGAAACAAATATGAATACTAATGGCATAAATATCCCAAAAATATGAGTTCAATTGAATACACATAAATATATCACCACCTACGTAATCCTAAAGCCCTAACATGAGCAAGATAAATATCTCTAGCAATGGGCTTAGTCAAAGGGTCCATAACCATGCGACTTGTAGGGATGTGCTCCAGGATCACTTCTTTCTGCGCCACAATGTCTCTGATAAAGTTGAACCTCACATCAACGTGTTTGGTTCTGCCGTGGTATTTAGGATCCTTAGCGTAAGCGAGTGCAACCATGCTATCACAATGGATAGTCACAGGGTCTGAAGTGTGTGTGACAACATCCAAATGCTGAAGGAATCTCCTCAACCACACGGCTTCCTGAACGGCAGATGAACAAGCCACAAACTCAGCCTCCATGGTCGATAAGGCGATGCAGGATTGCTTCTTACTGCTCCAAGAAATAGCACCATCGCTAAGCATGAAAGCATATCCTGAAGTAGACTTACGCTCATCTATGCCCACACTCCAGTCAGCATCACAATAGCCAACTAGATGTCAGATTTGAACTTTGGTAGCAAAGTGTGTAATCTGCAGTCCCTCTAAGATATCGTAATATCCTCTTAGTGGCTTTCCAATGACCAGTCCTGGGTTAGATTGGTAACGACTCACACAATCCGACTGCATAAACAAATGTCAGGGGTGTGTACACATCATAGCATACATCAAGCTTCCAACAACATTTGCATAGGGAACACGGGCCATCTTTTCATTCTCTTCTGGAGTCTTAGGGCCCATATCAAGGCTTAGGCTCTCACCTTTCACAGCAGGAGTGTCAATGGGTTTGCAGCTCTGCATCTGGAATCGCTCTAGGATAGGCTTAATGTAAGTCTCTTGAGACAAACTGAGAAGCTCCTAGAGTGATCCCTAAGGATCTTAACATCGAGCACATTGCTCGCTTCACCCATGTCTTTCATCTCAAATGTAAGAGACAACACCTTTTAGTGGCGACAATCATCTCCTTGTCATTTTAGCGAATATATGTCATCTACATATAATGACAATATCATAAAAAATGTCCTTGGACTTCTTGACGTACACACAGTGATCTTCATCGACCATCGTACCCGATTAGAAACAATGGCTCGATGAATCTTAGATTTCTGAATTGATTTAAGCCTATGAGATCATTAAAGCTTGCAAACTTTTGTGCTCCTGACCTACTACCACAAGCCTTCTGTTGAATCACATATAGATCTCTTCATTCTAATTCCTCATTGAGAAATGCATCTTAACGTCATCTGATATAGCTCTAGTCCAACTGAGCTACTATGGCCAGGATTAGGCGAATAGAGGCAAACCTTACAACTGGTGAAAAGGTTTCCTCATAGTCCACACCCTCTCGTTGGGTGTAACCTTTCGCCACTAGGCGAGCCTTATACCTTTCTATGGAACCATCCGTCTTGCGCTTGATTTTGAGAACCCATTTGTTCCCAATAGTCTTGCGCCCTAGCGGCAAATCAACCAAGTCCCAGATATGATTTTTCTTCATAGACTCTATTTCTTCATCCATTGTCGTACTCCATTCTTTACTAGCAAGGGATGAGAGAGCCTTTTTGAGATTCTTAGGAACATCTCATCACTCGGAGTAATCATGAAT